AAGTTATAAGATTTTCTTACAGCACTTTTGCCTGCAATGTGAATTCAGTGTTAGTCATTTCTCTGAGCACATCATAAGAGACAACAAAACCTCAGTCCCAACATAAAGTCCTCCCTCACAGCAGTCTGGGAGAAGTTTGCTTACGAATACCTACCCAAACAGTCACTACATATGCAAATTTCCTTCATGTGATCAACCGTAGTGCACCCTTTAGGCCCATGATGCATCACGGCGCTGCTGCCACGTCTGTCCTTTTTTGGAGTGTGAGGTCCAAGACAGAGTGGGGAGGACAGGAGGGCCTTGACTGTTTGGGTAGGTATTTGTTAGCAGACTCTTCCCACACTGTTGTGAGGAAGGAGTCTACTGCACTCAACCTACCCAACCAGTCACAATACATATGCAGAGTAGCACTGTACCCTGGATTGGAGGAGGTTAGCCGAGGATGCACTGAAGTGTGTGAGACCGTGAAAGGAAGACACCCATATATACGGTGTAGAGCTGGAGGACGATGGAGTGCCGGTCCTCATGGTCTCGTTGAAGAGGCTATAATAGATATGCCTCAACGGAACTCATTGCAGAACCATACTAACTACATCCTGCATGGAGCCGGGGAACCTGAAATGGGACAAAGGGAACTGGGCCTTGTAACAAAAGACCGTACTCCGAACAAAACACAAGGCTGCTGGGCATTATCGACATTTTTTCACTCTCAATAGTGGAGATAATCCAGCCTTGTTTTGAAACAGTATACCACGGTTTGGGACATTTAGTGCGAGCGGATTACCACCGGGGAGAAAAGCGCTCCACCACTGCAGCGATGAGCCACACAGCACTGCTGCATGTTAATTTGGCACCTATTGAAAAGAGGTCAGCAGCGCACTGTGCCAGGTTTGTGAGCAAAAGAAACTTCCATAACACCACACAATCTGGGCTCTTTTTACAAGGCTGCAAGCCTGGCTGAAATACTCAGGCGTCAGTAGATTTTGTCTGTCAGACTAGAGTGGCCACCAGACAGTAATTTGTGTGGGTGTAAATGTTCATTCATTGAAATGATGAATTTTTGAAGAATTTCGAAAACTGAAAATCTTGAAAAGTCCCGATTATGTGCACTGCATTTTTCAAACCACCCGGCAGCAAGTGGTTAAGGCTCAAATCCACTTGCTGGTTCATGTTGATAAGACCAGAGCAGGGATCGATCACTCAATCCTGGGTAGTTAGAGGCTCAAGTCCACATAATGGTTCATGGTGATGACACCACAATAAAGATTTGTCACTCAATCCTGGGTGGTTTGAGGCTCATATCCATCTAATGGTTCATGTTGTTTACACTAGAGCTAGGACTAGGGAGTAAATCCTGGATGGCTTGAGGTTCAAACCGACTCTTCGTTGACAATGAAACAAGAGGAAGGAATGGTCACTCAAGCCTGGATGGTTTGAGGCTCAAGTCCACCTCACTCTTCATGTTGCTCAGACTAGAACAGGGACTGCTCACTCAAGCCTGGATGGATTA